TAGACTTCCATATTTTTTTATATTGTCCTTTAAGCCACTCCAAAAATGCCTCTTCCTAATAACTTTTGAACATTGTCTTTCCTTTGGAATATGTTCTCATGGTAAGTGCCTGGTCCCACATGCTCTTTTTTGGTCAGTCCTTTGAATTTTATGTTAGAAAATGTCCAGTACTGAAAATTAATGGTTATCTCCCCCTAATTTCAATAGGGTTTAAATGCTGTATCCAAATTTTGAACATCACCAAAGATTTGCAGAACTGAACCCAGGTAAGTTTGGCTCATCACCAATAATCAGTTTGTCTGGTAACTAGATAAACAAAAAGTTACACTGTAATAAAACTGAGCTTGCATATTGCGGGATAATGCCATGGTAGAAGTGTTATAATTAGTATATACATGAAAGGCAAAACATTTGTGTGTATATAATCAATGGGGGGAATCAATGGTGGAGAAGAATCTGGGAGTTGTGGTAGATTAAAGGCTTAATAAGGGCATGCAATGCCAAGCTGTGGTTTCTAAAGTGAGCAAAATCTTCTCTTGTACTAAAAGAGGTATAGACACCAGAGAGAGAGATATCATTTTACTCCTGTACAAACCAGTAGTAAGACCAAACTGATAAGAGGCATGGAGGAGCTCAGCTATGAGGAAAGTTTAGAGGAACTGAATGTATTCTCTCTTGAGAAGAGGAGATTAAGGGGGAATATGAGCAACATGTATAAATACATCAGTGGTTCATATAGTGAACTCTGTGTAGAGTTATTCACCCTAAGGTCATCACAGAGGACAAGGGGGCAAGCTTTAAGTCTGGAGGAAAATAAATTTAATCTCCAAATACAGAAAGGTTTCTTCACAGTAAGAGCTGTGAAGATTTGGAATAGACTTCCTCAAGAGTTGGTTCTGCCTAGCTCAGTGGATTGCTCTAAAAAAGGCCTGGATTCTTTCTTAGATACACAGAATATAACTGGATACTAACATTTATAGGTAAAGTTGATCCAGGGAATATCCGATTGCCACTCGGGGAATGAGAGGATTTTGTTCCCCTGCAAGAGCAAATTGGATCTCGCTTTGCTGGATTTTTTGCCTTCCTCTGGATCAACTGTGGGTGTAGGATTATAACTTTTTTTTATAGTTAAACTGGATGGACTTTTGTCTTTTTACAGCTAGACTAACTATGTAACATATAAAAAAAATTATAATTACCTTTTTCCCCTTTTTATAATTGATCACATATTCTCTGTTGTCAGCTGCATAAAGACTAGGGGAGGAGGAACAGCAGAACATTGAACTTCACAGTGAATGGCTGTGCAGGGGCAGGGGGCATGTCAGCACAAGCCTGATTAATTGATTAGCTCCCAGCACAGCTAGAGAACTGACCATGCTGTGCTCTCCTACTAAGTCCTCATGCACACTGGGCGTTTTGATAATGCTGGTAACGTTAGCGGTGTAAAGTCACATTAAAAATGTACTTTTTTTCAGCTTTTTAGCATTTGTGCATTAGTGTTTAGTGGCGTTTTGCTGCTGCAATTAGAGACTTTTTTCCCTCGTTTGCGGTTTTTAGCGTTTTTTTAGTCAAAAAAACCTCCGAAAATGCTGGTTTACATTGTTTTGGTGCATTTTACCACGTTTTGCAGTGTTAGAGCTAAAAAACTCCTCTAGAAACCCACTAGTCCTGGTTTTTTTCCAGCCAAAAAACATCCCTGCCAAAAAAAAAATGTTGATTACAGTCTTTGTTTGCATGGACACATAGGATAACATGCTGGGGAGTTTACTGACTGTAGAAAAAAAACGTCAAAAGCCAAAAACAGCAGCTGTAAAAACATCCAGTGTGCATGAGGACTTAGTGTGGTAAATTTTTAATAGGAAAGCAAAGGGACTGGTAGGAACACAGGGACTTCAGAAAACAGAAGCAATACAAAGAGAACAGGATACAATTTTGGACAAGTACATGGTACAGCAGGAACATATCAGGAATGTGAAATATTGGGTTTATATATTCTTTAAGTACACAGAATAAATACATCTAAGGAAGCTGCTTCACCCGCCAAAGTATTTTCATTTCGGTCTATCCAGTGAGATTATTTTTTAACATGTTCATGAATATCAGCATAACTACCCTATCAGAGTAATATACAAGAGATAAGATCAACTCCTGGATATATTATTCTTTTGTACTAGAACAGAGGGAAATCGTATTACATTTAAAAAATGTTATCAAAATCCCCCATTTCCTAACTGAAACTGCAGTCAGGTGTCCCAATTCATCTTCGTTCTGGGCTACAGTGAAGGAATGTACTTCTTGCAGCACTCATGTCCTTTCACGGTGGTCTGCACATGGTGCCTGTTATCTGGAAAACACTCCTCAAAGGGTGCTTTCCTCAAAGCACCAGAATCAAGATGGTACCAGGGAAAGCAACAAGATAGGCCAGCTGCATTAATGGTTTGCAATTGCCAATCCATTTTACTGGCAGGGGCACCATGGATGGCCACATGACAGCAGATTCAAGTTGTGTATATATACTGGGGTTCTTCAAAATGTGCTGCACTTTTTTTTATTATTATATTATTATACAGGATTTATATAGTGCCAACAGTTTGCTCAGCGCTTTACAATATCTCTATTATATACACTATATTGCCAAAAGTATTGGAGCGCCTGCCTTTACACACACATGAACTTTAATGGCATCCGAGTCTTAGTTCATAGGGTTCAATATTGAGTTGGCTCATCCTTTGCAGCTATAAGAGCTTCAACTCTTATGGGAAGGCTGTCCACAAGTTTGAGGTCAGGCACTGATGTCAGATGAGAAGGCCTGGCTCACAATCTCCATTCTAATTCATCCCAAAGGTGTTTGATCAGCTTGAAGTCAGGACTCAGGGTGCAGGCCAGGCCAGTCAAGTTGATCCACCCCAAGCTCGCTCATCCGTGTCTTTATGGACCTTGCTTTGTGCACTGGTGCGCAGTTATATTGGAACAGGAACGGGCCATGCCCAAACTGTTCCCACAAAGTTGGGAGCATGAAATTGTCCAAAATGTCTTGGTATGCTGACGCCTTAAGAGTTTCCTTCACTGAAATTAAGGGGCCAAGCACATCTCATGAAAAACAACCCCAAACCATAATACCCCCCCACCAAACTTTACACCTGACACAATGCAGTCAGACAACTACTGTTCTCCTGGCAACCACCAAACCCAGACAAATCCAACGAATTGCCAGACAGAAAAGCATGATTTGTCCCTCCAGAGAACACATCTCCACTGCTGTAGAGTCCAGTGGCAGTGTGCTTTACACCACTGCATCCGACGCTTTGCATTGCACTTGGTGATGTAAGGCTTGGATGCAGCTGCTCCACCTTGGAAACCCATTCCATGAAGCTCTCTACACACTGTTGTTGTGCTAATTTGAAGGACACATGAAATTTAGAGGTCTTTAGCTATTGACTCTACAGACAGTTGACGACTTCTTTGCACTGTGAGCTTCAGCATGCACTGACCCCAGTCTGTCATTTTACATGGCCCACCACTTCATGGCTGAGTTGCTGTTGTTCCCAGTTATTTCCAATTTGTTATTACTAACACTTGACTGTGGAATATTTAGTAGCAAGGAAATTTTACAGATGGACTTATTGCACAGATGGCAACCTATCACGGTACCATGCTTGAATTCACTGAGCTCCTGAGTGCAAGCCATTCTTTCACAAATGTTTGTAGAATCAGTCTGCATGCCTAGGTGCTTGATTTTATTCAGCTGTGGCCATGGAGAAGATTGGAACACCTGAATCCAGTGATTTGGAGGGGTGTCCCAATACTTTTGGCAATATAGTGTATATAACTTTTAAATAAAACTTTTTGAAGACCATATATATAAAAACTGTTGTTTTTTTATCTCTCAGAATTCAGCTTTAAAGCTTCTATGTTATTGTAACTTCTCAACTGTTCAATATCTTTGCTGCTATGGAATGTACAGGGCCATTTTCTAGCACCGTATATCATAGTGTGGTAAAATTATGTTAATATAATGTTACCTGGCAAAAAAATGTGTTCCTTTTCTATTTTTACTGTAAAATTAAACATTGTTATTAAACTTATATGGGACTGAAATAGTTCATTATTTTGCTGTATGACGATTTAGCACAAGGACATATTTAGGGTTTAATTGAATGTACAGATTTTATTGTAAAAACATGTAAAACAAGCAAATGGGAAAGACTGTATGCTGCTTAGTCACAATGCAGAAAACCAGTAAACTTCAATGCTGCTCTGCAAATGTGTTTCTTCATAAACCTTGGTCATTAAAAATCTCCATCTGTTCGGCTTCCTTTAGATCTCTTGGACAGGCTTTTCCCATTAGGATCGTAACATCCACTTCACACCTGCATCTGAACCAATACGACTGTCTGATATTACTGCTCTGCAGTCCCTCTGCACCATGCTAAGGATGTGCTGATCTACACATGCATACTTTAAAATATGTTTATGTGCCTCCAACTTAATGACTGTGGGTTGCTGAAGAAAAGCCTCTCTGGATACTATAATAATCCATTTCATTCACAGATGGGGGTGCAGATTCTATTCTATGCTCTTCTGGAGCAAAATAAAGTCTAACATCCATCTACTATTTATTCACAAGAAGCTTTTCTTTAAACTGAATCTGTGCCTTGCCCATGCAAAAAATGCAGGCATTGTAGTTGATTTTTGCCTCACAACAGCATCCAAAAGACAGAGAAATTGTACAATCCCCTATTGCAGGGGTACTCAACCTTTTGAAGACCGAGGACCACTTAAGTGATCTGGTAACCCGCAGGCCACAATGAAATGAAATGGTTCAGAATTTAGAATTTTTTATTTTCCATAGCATAATGAAGATTTCAAACAACAATCAGGATCATCATTTTCCATGGGACCAATACTGGTTGGATGTTTGCCCATTGTTTAATCACAATCAAAAAATAATACTTTTTATTACCCATTTATTGCCCTGATGATCAGTGTAGCCCCATCAGTGCTACCTGTCAGTGACCATCAATGCCACCTGCCAGTGCCCATCAGTGCAACATCAATGCCACATATCAGTGCACATCAATGCCACATATCAGTGCCCATCTGAGCTGCCTTTCAGTGCCACCTATCAGTGCCAGTCATTGCTGCTTTTTAGTGCAGCCAATCAGCGCCTCCTATCAGTGCCAGTCAGTGCCACCTATCAGTGTCCATGAGTGCTGCCTATCAGTGCCACCTAACAATGCCAGTCAGTGCTGTCTATCAGTGCCATATATGAGTGCTGCCCTTCAGTGCCCATCAGTGATGCCTGCCAATGCCCATCAGTGCCACCTACCAGTGCCTCCTCATCAGTGCAGCCTATCAGTGCCCATCACTGCAGCCTCATTAGCGCACATCAGTGAAGGAGAAAAATCACTTATTTACAAAATTTTATAACCGAAACCAAGAAATAAAGTTTTTTATTCAAAATTTTCAGTTGTTTTTGGTTTGTTTAGCAAAAAAAAAAAAAAAAGCCCAGTGGTGAATAAATACCACCAAAAGAAAGCTCTATCTGTCTAAAAAAAAAAATACAAATTTCATATGAGTACAATGTTGCATGACCATACAATTGTTATTCAAAGTGCAACAGCACTGAAAGCTAAAAATTGGCCCAGGCAGGAAGGGGGTATAAGTGCTCTGTAGGCAAGTGGTTAATATACCCAAATTTGAACCTGCTATCAGGACTTGCTGCATTTACAGGTAGAGGCTACTAACACGTGAAATCATCATTAAGGCAGCACTCAGACTTGTGAGCAGTGGTGTGTGTAGGTTTTGTGCTGCCCTAGGCAGCACAGAATTCCCCCCCCCCGAAAAGAGCCTTCCATTACCATTGCCCCCATACACTGGCAATTCCCCTCCCAGCGAGAGAGAGAAAGACACCCACCTTCACAGCTTTGGACATCCCTGGGAATGAGAGTCAAGCAACCCGCAGCCTCTCTCAGATCCCACCTGGTCCCCAAGCCGCATGTGTCCCTTCTTTCGTCCTTTCTTCCAGGGGAGCGGTGCTGCCCCTCTGAAAAATGCCGCCCTAGGCAAATGCCTTGTTTGCCTTGTGGTAAATATGCCCCTGCTTGTGAGCACACTCTACTTCACATGTTTGGGAAATTCATACAAATGAGCGCAGAGAGGCCACCCCAGGTGGAAACATGTGAACAGTTAATCATGAGCTCACCACTGCTGCCTTGTTAATCATTTGCATGATGAAGAGAACTGAAACGAATAGGTGCTGTGGAAAATGCTCTCAGTCAAGCACCTTAATGAAGGTGCATCTTTATTTGGTGAGACAAAGTAGCAAATATAATAAAATTTGACCAGCCTGAAGTTAAAAATTGTGACTCCAACGGACGGCGCATCCGCTCTGGAGAGAGCTGAGGTTGGAGAACGCTCCTCTCAGCTTCAAATAACGTGGTGACAGGGAAGGAGGAAAGACTTTTCTCTCTTATTTATAACACTATCATTATAGGCTTTGTCAATGAGTAATTTGAGGGCTATTTGATAGTCTGGTAAGGGATCTGCCTTTAGTAGCTGATATGTGTCAATATCGGAAAGGAGACGAATGGACTCATTGATGTAATCACTGGTGTGTTGTATAACTTGACTTCCTCCTTTATCAGCTTGCTTAATGACAATGTTTTTATTATTCTCTAAGTTTTTTAAGGCTTGTGCTTCGGAATTACTCATGTTGTAACTAGTAGGTGGATTATTGCACAATCTGAGATCTTTATAGGATGCCTGGTAGAAGGTCTCGATGTATGGTCCCTTGGACTGTACTGGAAAAAAACTGGATTTGTATTTAAAATTGGTGTGAATGATATCTGGGTCTAAGGAAATATTGGGTGTTTGCGTGTTAGAAGGATGGCTTTCCATCCATAGATCCTCTAGCATCTGGACTAATATTCTATCATCATCTTGAAAAGAAGAGTCTGTATTGATAAAAGAGGTTGTCTCACCTGTCAGTCCATCACCCATGGCAGATCACAGGTGTTGGACTCCCAGGGCAACAGCTATCACATTCGTCAGTTTATTACGTGTGCAACTGACCACGTCATATACGTTCTCAGATGCCCGTGTAAGCTCCTATATGTAGGCCGAACCACACGCCCTCTACGCAAATGCATAGGGGAGCATAGAAGACTTATAAGAGACAGTTGTGATAAGCATAGTGTCTCCAGGCACTTTTTGCACTCTCATCAAAAGAATTTCAGTCTTTTTGAGGTCTTAGCAATCGAACATATTCCAAAGGGTACATTTATTGACAACAAAAGACTAGTCCGTTTATGGAAGAGAGACGTTCTGGATCTACAAGTTAGGTTCTATGACCCCCAATGGTCTCAATGAGGATCTTGAAATCCATAGCATTATCTAACAAGTATGACCTATAGTCCCCGGAACTAGGATTCTCCTGTTTTTTTTCGCTCAACCATTATTTACGGTTATGTACTGATATTTCTTTTATATACATTATTGTCTTCTTTTAACACTTTTTTTTTTTTTACTTTCACTGTTAACATGTATATATTGTGTTCACTCAATTATGAATACATGTTACTACGCATCTATTGCGTTTACTTGATTACGAACATATGAGCTACCTAATTTGATACCCATATTGATTTCTTTTAGAAGTACCTTTTTATACAGTCATTTTTATCTTCATATGCCATCCTCCCCCCCCCCCTTCTTAGTCCATATACCCAAAAATTACCTCACTATAAACGCATTTTTTGACACAGCTTCCATGTACCAGCGATGTCATTTTTAACTTAGAGTTCTCCCACATAATTTGCAATTTGTACTTTTAAATTTGTATTCAGCATTGCTTCAGGATGAGCCGTCCACTCTGACACCCCATTCCCTGCCAATTACACTCAGCCAGCCAGGGTTACCAGAGACTTGACAAAGCGCAACTGCGGAAAACATGTCGTCTTGGTAACCCTACATACGCTCCCAGCTGAAGCCACGCTGGACACTGCCTTCGCTTGCCATGATGATGCCACCCAGGACGCCCGGACGCTGACACCACGTGACCAGCAGTCACCTGAAATCAGCTATAAGGCAGTATTAAGGCAGCACTCTAACTTAGAAGCAATCAGGTTCCTCTTGTACAGTTAACCCCTTGTGCGTTTTACTTCCAGCAACTTCTCCCAAAGGATGCAGCACTTTTGAGTGGGTACCACAGAGCCTGTACCCCACTCCACCAGCACAGCCTGGCATGTCACCTCACTCTCAGTGACACTATGGTGTTGATTTACTAAAGCACCTTGTCTGCAAATGGTCACCATCCCATAAATGACTGACTACTTTTAGGCAGAGAAGGGATTTACTAAAGCACTCAGTCCACAAATAGACACAACTGGAATTTACTAATGGTCACAAAACCTAGCGACCATCTAAATGAGTTCACCTTCTAGAACCAGGTGACCAGCAGAGAAAAATGTTTTTAATGACATGATCTCAAGCAATTTATCAAAAGTCAAATACAAAAAGTTGCAGCGCTTGAGTGTATAATACAGGGAATTAACATGAATAGCAGACTTAAACATTCATATTTTGACATGCACCAGATCCCACACTCTTAAATTGATGTAAACAGTAATCAGATAAGTAATGAAGATCTATCCGACTAATCAAGGTGCCTATAGTGATGGAGATGTTAAAGTCATAAGTTCTGTGATGTATCCAAACAAATCCGTGACTTCCGTGTGATAGGGGAATAACTGTATAATGCACTAACCAGATAGTGCAAGTAAATGCGCATTGGAGTATAATGACCTACTCCTGGTCAAAGCCAGATGGTCCTCAGCGTGAAGCCCTCAGGAACACCAATGCACCACTCTTGCCGTCTCCTACCACCAGGGGGAGTGCGCCTCCTTACAGTAACACGAAATCACTTTATATCCTCTATCGCCAGGATTGGTGTGCTTTCATATCAGGAGATCATCTCAGGGGCTCGGCAATAAGACCCAAAAGAAAGAAATCTTGATAGTGTAGTATTTTTATTCAAAGGTAAAAAGTAAGTAATACACTTACATGGTAATATCCAACAAAAGCTGATGCATAGAATCCAAAAAGATGGCCGACAGTCAGATGCATGAAACAAGTGGATGATCAATGGTATGAGAGGTGTCCTTATCCCTAACGCGTTTCGTGGCAATGGCACATTATCAAAGGGGCAATTTATACTTCCTATACACATGTTGAACATTTTAATCACTTGCCCTCCTGAGGATTTACCCCCCTTTTTGACCAGACCATTTTTTGCATTATGGCACAGTGTTATTTTAACTGACAGTTGTGCGGTCATGCAAAACTGCACCCAAATGAAATTTATGACATTTCTTTCCCCACGAATTGCGCTCTTTTGGTGGTATTTGATTGCCTGTGCGGTTTTTATTTTTTGCGTTATAAAAATAAAAAAGGCCAACAGTTTTGAGGAAAAAAAAAACTATATTTTTGACTTTTTGCTATTAAACAGGTCCAGTAAAAAAAAATGTAAAAAATCAAATTTCGGCATACATTTAGGTCAAAATGTATTTTGCTACATGTCTTTGCTAAAAAAAATCCCAATACGTGTACATTTTTTATTTTTACTAGAAATGGTGGTGATCAGAGGGACTGTGGTGGGCATTCTGACACTGGGGGGAACTGAGTTAGTGTTACTGACATCCCCAGTGACACCAATATAGTGATCAATGTTAACAAAAAGCACTGACACTGTACTAAGGGCACTGGGCAGGAAGGGGTTAACAAGAGGGGCGATCAAAGGGTTAACTGTGTGCTGTTTTATTTGTGTCTGTGTTCTTCACTGTAATCACACTGCTTTGGATGGCTGTGCACAGCACAGCCATCCAAAGCAGTGTGTACTAGCTGAAAAGGAGGAGAACTGTATTGTTTACATACAGTTCTCCTCCCCATTGAAGATGCTCGGCAAGCAATCACTTGCCGGGATCGGGTTCCAGATAGCAATCACTGGCTGGGACCTGGTGCTTGACAGTTGTGGCCACAAACGGCAGCGTGGATAGGGCGTGCACGGCCCCTACCCAGAAATGCAAAATCACGTATATACAGTATACATTATTTTGTACACTCGTGCCGCCCTGTAGCAGTATATCTGCTAGAGGGCGGTCAGGAAGCGATTAAAGAATAACTGCTTTAAAAGAATTCTAAATTTGTCTGTATACAGTGATATATTTCAACAAATCCAAACAGGCAGTGACTTCACCTAGTTCAAACGTCTCAGTAGTGGCACGACTGAGCATGCCCAGACTAGAAATCTTTAGAAGAGCCTTCACTCTGTTGCTTTTCAGAAATTGCTTTAGTATGAGA